ACCAGAAGGCAGGCGGCAATGGGCAACTGAAAACAGCAATTGGGGCCCCTTCAGCCTTACCCGCTGCACTACCAGAGAAAAAAAAGGGGGGAGTGTGATGTGGGTTCTTGTTTTACACGGTGGAGCAGCCCGTCACGGGCCGCCCGACGTCTGCGCTTCTCGCTGCGAGCCCAGCCCAGCCAGAAACACAGCCGCCGCCTCCGCGCACCGCCGCCTGCTCGGGCAACCAGTGCCGGCTCTCCTGCCGCCGATGCGGCTCCCTAAACCCAGCCGCCACCTCCGATGACTCCCTCAACGCGGCCCACCCCTTCTGCCAGCCCAGCCAATCCCGGAGGGTGCAGGCACAATCAGCTCGCCCCGGAGAGACCAGGCCCAAAGGTATGCTGTGTCTCTCACGCGCTCCGAACTCCGAGCACGAGGCGAGCAACTGGCTGCAAGGAGAGCGGAGCAAGCCTATTAAGGCTGCCAGGCTCCACTCCCCCTATTGGAGCAGAAGCTCCACTGCAGCCTGCCTGACTACACCTCCTCACGATGAGGCAAACGCGGCCCCCACGAGACATGCTGGGCTGTCTCGTGCGGGGCCAGATTAGAGGGGTGAGTGTTTTTTATTTACTTTCAGCTGAGGAGATTTAGCTAAGGGTACTGTGTAGGAGAACTGTGTTTGGGAGTATGTGGGTGAGATTTAAGTTGTTGCAGAATCCTGGCTGCTGTAACTATTTAAATTACACCTAGGCAATCCAATTATGGTCAAACAAATCACCCTTTCTCAAACAGCCAAATTCCAAGAGCCCCTTTCCAAGAGCCCCTTTCCAAGAGTACCTAGACAAAGAGCCACAGTTCAAGAGCCCTTTAGCTTGTGCCAGGAACATCTATCTAAGATGGACTCTATTGCGCCGATGGTTATTACCATCAGAAGTCTGTACCCTATATATACATGGTTGCTGGCATTGCTCTGTTACTACTGCGAGACACCACTGCCTATTTCCCTCTACCCACATGTCATCTCCTACCTTCAATGGCTTAAGTGGTTTTGCCGCTTGATCATGGAAATATTTCTGCATATCCTGAATTTCCTGTAAGGCCTTGTGTTTCGGGACATAATGTCTGCTGGGATGCTGGTAACTTACTTCTCAACACTCTACCCATCAACATTTCTGCAGGTGAATACCTCATTCCTGTGACAGGCTTATTACGGTATTCCAATAATGCTAAATGTATATCCCTTTTTGAATAGTCTACTTTCCTCATTAACTATTTAATGGAGCCAATAGCCTCTCTACCATCCCATTCGATCTAGGATATCCAGGACTGCTTAAACATTGTTCAAATGCCTATTCCTGGGCAAATTGTCTAAACTCCTTGCTAGCAAAAGGCATGTTGTCACTCACTTCCTTCCTTGGAATTCCATGACGTGCAAATATGTTCTTAAGTCTAAGAATCACAGTGCTGGCAGTTTTTCCTGGCAGTGCCACTATCTATGGATATTTTGAATAGTAATCCACCACAATAAGGAATGAAGAGGACTGATAATCAAAAATATCTACACCAACTTTTCCCCATGGTAAATCTGGGATTTCGTGAGTGATACCGGATCTCCTCTAAGGACGGTTCCGAATGCCCAACTCAGTCTTATGTACGACAGTGGGCGTGGTGTGAGTAATTTTCCCGTGTATACAGAGAGCGGATTGGCCAACGAACGCTCCTATTTCCTAGGAAGTGAGACAACACGCTAGGTTTAATGAATAAATGTTGCCTTTTACTAAGCAGTTTTCAAGCATACGAAAAACAGATGCACACGCAGATTCACACAAGTTCCTTAGTTACAATAGTATATAGAAAGCAATCAGCATGGAAAATAATAAATTCAACAGACAAGGGGGATAACACAGCAGGATATCGCTTATACTTATCTGAGGTCCAAGCTGAGAAGAAATCTCCTCGTAGAAGGAATGGGGCAGCCTAAGTATCAGTGGGTGGACTCTAAAAACACACGGACTGGTCTGGCCAAGCCACGTGTGGGGTCTCGGGTCGCGACTCCTGAGAACGCAGTAAGAATCACCTGCAGCACTTAAGTTGCAAGGTAAGGGAGGGGTGGGTTAACCAGAGAAACAAAGGCTGTGTTTCTCTTTTTAAAAGC